CTTATCAAGCTACCTGTTGTGAAAGAAACATTTTTTTTTTCAGTTTTTCACAAACCAGTGCTTTTGTAAAGTATGATAAAAGTGAATAACTGTAAAATAAAAGGAAAAAACACACAAAATACAAGCCCAAATGTTTCTAGTTACACAGCGAGCACATCAAAATCATGATATCTGAAGAAAAAGTAGATAAACTGGACTTCATCAAACTGAAAAATGTTTTTCCTTCCAAAGACAGTATCAAGAAAGTAAAAAGTAAATCACAAAATGGGGGAAAATATATCTAGATCATATATCTAATAAGGGTCTACTATTGAGAACATATGAAAACCTCTTATAATTCAACAGTAAAAAACAAAATGGCCCAATTTAAAAATTAACACATATTAGAATAGATAGTTCTCCAAATAAGATAAGAAAATAGCAATAATCACATGAAGATGCTCAATATCATAAGTCTTTAGAGAAACGCATATTCAAATCACTTTATACCCACTAGAATCACTACAATAAAAAAGATACAAAATAAGTCTTGGCAAGGGTGTGAGAAACTTTTAACCCTCATACCTTTTTGGTGGCATATCAAATGGCATAGTTACTGTGAATACAGTTTGGCAGCTCTTCAAAAAGTTAATCATGTAGTTATCATATGGCCAAGGAATTCCACTTCCAGGTATATTTCTAAGAGAACTGAAAATATATGTTCATACAAAAACTTTTATCTAAATGCTCATAGCAGCAGGAAAAAATCCAAATGTCTATTAACTGGGAAGTAGATAAACAAAATGTGGTATGTCAACATAATGGAGTATTACTCTGCAATAAAATGTGATTATGTACAACGTGAATGAAGCTTGAAAATATAGTGCAAAGTGAAAGAAACAAGAAACAAAGGCCACATATTGATTCAATTGATATGAAATATCCAGAATAGGCAAATCCACAGAGAAAGGAAGTATACTAGTAGTTGCCAGGAGATGAAGTAGGGTAGGGAGAATTGGAAGTGACTGCTAACAGATGATGAGGTCTCTTGATGTGGGAGTAGGGGACAGAAATAGAAAAATAGAATTAAATAGTGGTGATGGTTGCACACCATTGTGAATTACTGAAAGTCACTGAATCGTATACTTTGAAAGTGTGAGTTTATGGTATGTGAATAAAATCTCAATGAAAATTATGTAATAGATAACATGAATAATCCTGTTTTTATTCAATAAATTGGACTTGTAGTTGAAAATTTTCAAAATAGAAAACTCTATCTACATACAGCTTCTCTAGTGAATTCTATTAAGTATTTAAAGAAGAAATAATATTATTATCAATTCAACACAAATTCTTCCAAAACACTGAAGTAGAGGGAAAATTTCTCAATCAATTTATGGTTTGTAATTACTGTGATACTAAAACTAGACAAAGACTTTACACACACACAATAAACCTAACAAACAAAAAAACTATGGACTTACATCCCTCATACACATAGGGGTAAAAATTTTAAACAAAATTTTAGCAAATTGAACCCTGCAATAAATGTATAAGACAAACCCTGACCAAGAAAAACAATGACCAAATAGAATTTTTCCCAGGAATACAAACTGTACTCAACATTAAATATACCAACATAATAGAATGGAAAACCATATGATCATTTGAATAGATACATAAAAAGTGTCTGACAAAATTTAACATCCATTGTTGATTAATAAAACAATTATCAGCTATTAGTGAAATGCCTGATACCGAGTCTGGGTAGGAAAAATACAAGACACACTTGGAGTCATTCATGTTGGAGTCTTCCTGCTGTATGGCCAAGCATCACTTAATGATGGGGATACATTCTGAAGAATGCATCTTCAGGCAATTTCATTATAGTGCGAATGTTACACAGTATATATATATAAACCTAGTATATGTACCCAAACTACACATATATGGTATAGCCTATTGCTCCTAGACTACATACCTGTAAAGCATATTACTGTATTGAATACTGTAAGCAATCATAATACAATGGTATATATTTACATATCTGAACAGAAAAGGTATAGTTAAAAAAAAAGCATAAGAATTAAAAAATATTAACAGTTCACCTGTATAGGACACTTACCATGAATGGAGCCTGCAGGACTGGAGGTTGCTTTGGGTAAGTCAGTAAATGAGTGGAGAGTGAATATGAAGAACTAGGACACTACTGTCTACTACTGTAGATTTTATAAACAGTGTATACTTAGGTTACACTAAATTTATAAAACCATTTTTTTCTTCAGTAATAAATTTACCTTAGTTTCCTGTAACTTTCTTGATTTATATTTTAATTTTTTAAAAACTTTTTGGCTGGGTGCAGTGGCTCACACCTGTAATCCCAGCAATTTGGGAAGCCGAGGCATGCAGATCATGAGATCAGAAGATCAGGATCATCCTGGCTAACACAGTGAAACCCTGTCTCTACTAAAAGTACAAAAATTAGCCGGCTTGGTGGCACGTGCCTGTAGTCCCAGCTACTCCAGAGGCCAAGGCAGGAGAATTGCTTGAATCTGAGAGGCAGAGGTTGCAGTGAGGCAAGATTGCATCACTGCACTCCAGCCTGGGTGAGATAGCCAGACTCTGTCTCAAATAAAAAATCAATAAAATAAATAAAATAAATTAAAAAAAACTTTTTGACTCTCGTAATAACATCAAGGTTAAAACACACATTGGACAGCTGTCCAAAATATTTCCTTTCTTTATATCCTTAAGACTAAGGATGTAAAAAATAAGATTTTTTTTAAATTTTAAAATCTATTTTTAATGTTTTTCTCTGTTTAAATTTTTTGTTAAAAATGAAGACACAAATACACACTTAGCCTAGTCCTATACAGGGTCAGGATTATCAACATCTCTGTCTTTCACCTTCACATCTTATCTCACTAGAAGTTCATCAGGGGCAATAACGCACATGGAGCTGTCATCTGTAATAACAATGCCTTCTTCTGGAATACCTCCTGAAAGACCTCCCTGAGGCTGTTTTACAGTTAACATTAAAAAATACAAATAGAAGTAATGCACTCTAAAATAATTATAATGAGGATAATAAATACATATACTAGTAACATAGTCATTTATTATCAAGTATTATGTTCTGTACCTAATTATATGTGCTAAACTTCTATGAGATTGGAAGCACAGTAGGTTTGTTTACACCCATGTAGCCACAAACACAAGTGATGTTGCTTTATAACTTTACATTTACTACAATGACACTAGGTGATAGGAATTTTTCAGTTCTAATATTATGGGACCATTGCCAAATATCCAGTTCATTCTTTACCCAAACTTCCTTGTGTGGTACATGACTGGAATTCAAGACTATAATTCAATCTCCACCTTTCTGCAGCATTCTTCCTAAAACACATGTGTTCTAGTCTCTTATCTTTAATTCATAAAGCTAAGTGACTCCCCGTTGCCTGAAATACAAAGCCTAAATTCTATGCATAGCCTACAAAGTACTTCATTTTACCTCGACCTTTTTTGTAGAGATGGTCTGGCTATGTTGCCCAGGCTGGTCTCCAATTCCTGGGCTCAAGCCATCCACTGGCCTTGGCCTCCCAAAGTGCTGCGATTACAGGTGTAAGCCACCCAACCTAGCCAAAAATCACTTTTGCAAACTTAAGATTATAGTACTAACAAATCTGTCTATTACCTGTGTGTGAGCAATGTTGTTTGAAGCAAAATCAACAAGAATGTAACATCCTATTCTTGACTAAAGAATGTAAGACGAAGTCATTTCATCTGAAGAAGTAGGCTGGATTTACAACTCAGGTGCAGAACTTCATACAGCGAGTTTGAGGACACAAGGTTTTACGTTTTTTTAAACTTGTAGTTTCCAGGGAAACAGAACCTTCAGTCAGCTGGGAGTCAAGATTATATTGTTCCTAACAGAACCCTAAACAGTGTTCTTAATGGAAGTGTTCCTAATGTAACATGGTGAAGACATATCACCCTTCTTTTTTTGAGTGATTGCTGCTGTCTTAAAAGTAACTTCCACAGCCCCACTATCTTCCTTCCCATTCCTAGATAAAGATCTGTGATACCTGTGCTACCCGCTGAGACCCTTCCTAAAGTAATTGAGAGCGAGGAGTTGTTAAGCCGAGTCCAGGTTTATTGTGGTTTGCCGGCAACTCGAGCGGGAGAGGGAAGAGCTGCACCCAGCGGCTGCCAGAGAGGGTTTTTATAGGGGCAGCGGCCTGTTTAGGCGAGGTGTTGCGGAGTGATTGGTGGAGGTTAAACAAAGGGGAGGGAAGAGCCTTGTGGCAAAAGGGGATTGGCTAGGTTTTGGCGGGCTGATGCTGGGGCGTGTATGGGTTTTGGCGGGCTGACGCGGGAAGGCGATTGGCTAGTCCTGTTGCTGGGCAGACCAACCTCCAGAGGCGGCCTGCTGGATGTGGGCCCCAGAGGCCGCCTGCTGGATGTGGGATCCTGGATATGGGGGATGGGCTATTTCTACCTGACAATACCCAGCTCAAAGCTGATTCCAGCTACCCCTATCCCTTTCTTAGACTCATTCAGCAAATCCAGGACTCTATTATAGTCCCTGCTTTCTATTACTGAGAGCTCCCGGATTTCCCATGATACAGTTTGCTCTTCCGCAAACTCGACTTTAATGGGTTTTTTTGTCCCAAGACGCTTAGCTGTCATTGCGTTTGCAAATATGCATTAAAGAGCTTGGGATAGAGAGATAAATGTATTCGTAAATTGCAAATGTATTCATGTTCCCAAACGGCAACGAACTATTTGTGAACACTACGGTCCTACATACGAAATCTCATAAACCTAAAGAATCTACTGCAAATCCCTCTCTGAAAGACAGAGAGCGGGTAAACAAAGCAGCGGTAAACTGATGACCCAGAAACTGCTATCTTCCAAGCCGGAAGAGCGCACTGCAGCACAGGCCTCTAACCTACTTCCTCCCTTCTCATTTCAGGCGCGCTAGAGCCCTTGCGCATGCGCAACGCCCGCAGGCCGTGCCGCGGTGGCTTCCTGCGCCTCTATCTGCATCCGGGTCTGTGGGATTTGCGCCCCGCTGGCCGGCCGGGGTCGCTCGAGGGTGGTCGGGTGTTGGCTGTTCCCTCTGTTCCGGCGTCGGAGGAGTTGGTGGGTCAGCCGGTAAGTTTAGCGGGGAGGCGGTCCAAGAAGGGGACTGAGGCGGGAGACCCGGCGGCGACTTAGCCCTGTGCGGGCTTTGTGCCCAGACGGGGACGCCGGGACGCCCGGCCGGGGCGGAATGGGGTCTCAGGAGCCTGGAGGCTGGGGGCGCGTGGGGTCCCCGGCCCTGCCCCTCGCAGACCTGTTTGTCCTCTCCGGATTTGGGCCTCCGGGAGGAGGTGTCCCTCTCTCGGGGCTTTCTCCTGACACCTCTCCCTACACTTGTTAAAAATTCGTAACAGTCATCCTTATTTGCATTCGCTACGGTTTGCCGAGGGCCCGACAGCTGCACGGCTGAGGGGGGTCTGCAGCCCCCACCTCTCGGGCGGGAATCGCAGCCTTCTCTGCTGCCTGCAGTCCCTCCTCGGGTCGTTCGCACACGCGAGGCCAGGCCACCCTCACCCTGTCAGGTAAGGTCGGGTGGAGTAGGGAAAAGCTCGGAGCAGAGGATCCGCAAGTGCAGATTCTGGTGCCGGCCCCGCCATTAACTAGCTGTGTGACTTCAGGGGTGTAGATGTTGCCATCCAGCTTTGAAGTTTTGCGATTTATATTCAGCAGCTCTTTTCCCTAGCGATGCACATCCAAAATGAATCAGCACCTGGGGGAAGACGAGGGAAGGGTGGTGCTCTGCTGGTTTTTGATGCTGAATTGTCGTGATGCCAGGGAATTGCATAAGACCTCAGTAGTTTAGATCTCTGAGGAATCGCAAAACCTGGAAAAATCAAATCTTAAAATCCTAAATAAATGTGGTGGAGAAATCGTTTTTTTCTCTAAGTGAGGGGATTCATTTGGGAATTTTGGAGGTGAACTCTGCATCCTCCAGAGAGTTTTTAAGAAAACAAAAAGTTGCTTGTACTTTGGTCTGAGAGACTTGCTTGAACTTCGTTTCAGTGAGGTGTGTAGTGTTCTTAACAAATTTCACCCTGATGATGAGTATCGCCTGTGATAATTTGTAAAAGCGGAGATTCTTTGGACTTCATTTCAGATCTTTTGAAACACTGTCTCTAGGGAGAGGGACCTGAAAATCTATATTTTTAACTAGCATCCTAAGTAATTCTAAACCAATAATACAACTTTGAGTCAGATACACTTAGTTTTAAAGCCAGCTCCCCGGGCCACATTTTAACATCAGCAATAAACTTCTCAAAGTTGCAATTTCTGTATCTGAAGAATAAGGATAATGATTTCAACCTCAGAGACAATTAAGTGATTCTAAGCCCTTTGACAATGGAGTTCTTAATTATTTTTGTGTCTACAGAAACTAGTAGAGTGTTTAGTATGTAATAGGTCTTCAAGTGTGTGTTGAACTGAGAAAAATAACATGACCAGGACACAGAAGACATTGGAATGCTCTAATGCTTCTCGTCCTCCTTACCTTGTTTTTTTTCATTTTATTAACAATCAGTTTGCCGTATATTCTTGTTAGAAGTAAATACATCATTTGATGGGCTTTACAGCCAATAATTGTTTCTGATTATTTTGGTTTAACTCTAAAATTGTTTTTGACATTAGATTATGGATATATTTAAATGGAGGCTGACTCCATTTGTTGGACTGAATTTATGACTATAATTTATTTTCTGTAAATCAATAGTTGTTACTGGGCCAGAATTCTAATTTTTTGTGTTGTGTCAGAATTCGAAACTGTTGCCTTCTTAAAGACATTTGGATTCCATACATTCATTATAAGAAGACCTTTTACTCCCATTAATTTAGAAAATTTGGCTTATTACTCTTTAAAGTATGTGGTTACAAGACTCAGGAATGCTGAAACAATACTATAAAAGGCTTGGTATTGGTAACTGATCCACTTAAATATAGAACTAATAATTAAAATCTAAGAATGATGGGAACTGTTATAGAATGTAGTGTAAGTGTTACAAGGGGACATTTGTACACTATGGGTGGTAATATAAATTATTTCAACTTTATAGAAAAGTGTATGGAGATTTCTCAAAGAACTAAAAATAGACTACTGTTTGATCAGGGAATCTCACTACTGGGTATCTACCCAAAGAAAATAATTAATTATATCAAAAATATACCTACAGTCATTTTTATCACAGGACTATTCACAGTGAGGGAGTAGAATGGAGGCAGGGAACTTAAGGCCAATTTGTGTTGACTTCCTAAAGCCAATCAAACTCCATCTCTCCATGCCCAGGTAGCAAAGGATCAAAGGCTACTCTCCCTATAATAGGCTGCCTTTAACCACCTCTCAGATGGAAGGGAAAGTGCCTTGGATTGGCAGAGGACTACTTTGTTCAGCCCCACCTATTGATATGTAGGTTTTTAATTGACGGTTTTTGCCAAATTGCCATACAGTGAGACTACGCTACCAAAATCCACAGATGCTTAAGTCCCTCCTCTTAAATGGCATAGTGTTTAAAATAAATGCTTAGTATTCAAAAGAAAGACAAAGATGCAAACATCTTTTTTCCCTGAATATTTTCGGTCCTTGGTTGCTTGAGTCCTCGAATACGGAACCCACAGAAGGCTGACTATACTTAAATGACCTAGCCCACTGCCTGAAACTCGGGGTCTTCTCAAAAGAGAACAGCTATTATTACTATTTCTAAAATTGAGATTGTATATGTGCATGTCCTTCTTAAGTAATGTACTTTTTAAAATCAACAGTATATTATGCTTCTGTTTCAGTGCTCTTTTATTATTTAAAATTATTAAATTTAAATAAATTATCTTTATTATGTAAAGTGTTCTACAATGGACTTTTCTCAGGTTTGAACTTCTTGTTCTGGAAGCTGTGCATCACCATAATGAGGCTTGTAATTCTTGATAACTATGACTTGGCTAGTGAATGGGCAGCCAAATACATCTGTAATCGCATCATCCAGTTCAAACCTGGACAGGACAGATATTTTACACTGGGTTTACCAACAGGTAATAAACTGCTTTTTCCATTTTAGATTCTAACGTTATCTAAATTTAATTCTCATTGAATCGTTTCTCTTAGTAACATACTTTTCCCATTCATTTATTGCCATATCACTAATTGAACATCATAGTATACAAAGCCATAAAAATGCATATATATAAAATCTGTCTACAATTTGTTACTAGTTCTTGTGTCAAAATTCAGTCTCACCTGTCACTTCAAAATGCAATAGGAAATATTGTCACAAGTGATGTTCATATTTTTAATACATTTTCTAGTAGTCCTTTGTTTTGGGGAGCATTGCTTTTAATTTCATACCAGTTTTTAGGTGATTGGCTTTCTTATTAATCATTAAATGATACCTAAGGTATGTACTGTTGCCTCTTAATTTAACTTCACCTGCTTTATACATTCTTACTAATATAGAAATTATAAATTATAAATTATGTAATGTTTATTAGCTTTTATTCTTTAGTTCTATTATAGATGTATTACAAGTGAAACGTATGTCATCATCGCAGTTTAAGGAGAAGCATTAATTACATATTGTAGTGAATTCAGTTTTCCACTAAAGAGTCTCTTAAAAAATGACCAGGTGGTATCATTTGATCTATGGCACTTTATTTGATATTATTGACCCATGAATTCCACAAAGAATATTAGACCTAGAACTAAAGTTGCTCCTATTGACTATGAGGCATTTGTTCTATACCCCTGAGCCTTGGTTTTCTTACCTTTAAGAAGGATAAAGGTAATTACTTAAGATGCTAAGATAGTGTATGTGTATACTGTATATACTCTATAAATGTATAGTTCCTATAAGTGTATTTTATTTAAAGACTATTTTCTCCTATTTCTCCCTTCATACATGCTGATTACATAAAAATTACAATTGTAATTTTTTTTCACTTGAATAATATCCATGAATGATACTTTTTTTTTTTTTTTTTTTTTTTAATACAATACACTCTGAGAATTCTGTCTAGGAAAGACCACTGGGTGTGGTTTTTGGCCTATGGATATGACTGGAAATAAGTAGTCCAGACGGCATTGGAAGAAATGATATTGCAGATGGCAGGAGCCTTTTAACAACTCTCAGGGTCCCAAATGTAAATGAGTAGGAAGCAGTCACAAAAACCCTGTGACCCCAAAGAAGACATACTTCTCAACACCCACTTCTGATGTGGCATTGAGGACAATGTACAGAGAAGAATCATCCAAAGTGTTCTGAAAGGAAAATAAAATCTTAGGACCCCAATCTGTAATGCTGAAAAGAAAAAAATTAAGCTGAAAGCTGACTAATGCAAGAAACTGCCTTTTCTTGTGTTCCTAAGCAGATAGCTACAGATAAAAGTTTAAATAGATCCACAGGCAGTACTTAAGTTCACCTTATCTTATGTAAAGTGCTGATTTAGGAGGGCAAGGTGAATACATAACTGGACTATTGTTCTACCTGCTCCTCTTCTCTTGCTACATGTGAATTCAGTAATGTGAGCGTACCTTCCCTATTTCTTCTCCAGCCTGCTTTTCCCCTTTAAAGCTCTCAAAATCATCTTTAAAAAAAGGAATGGACCACATAGACTGTTCCTCTGGTTCTGTGTTCCTTTTTTCCTAGGCATGTTATTAACCTTGGCTAAATAAACCTCTAAATTGATTGAGACTTGTCTCAGATACTTTTTGGTTTAAAAGCTGAAGCCAGGGACATATAGAAGAATGGGTAAAGGAACTTCCTCCAGAGAGAAGAATCATTAATCAACTGATTAAGGAAATCCCCCAACTTTCAGGATAGAGCTTCCTCAGATTCCTGTCTGGAAGAATGATACTCTTCAAGTTGATTTTTTTGTTTTGCTTTTTGTTTCAGTCCAGGGCAGTAGATCTTGGTGAGAATGGCAAAAGGGGATTTTTTTTCCCATTGGTCACACCAGTACTACACCCTCAGCACCCTCAGTTCTTATATGTGAGCCCTTGTGGTTGAATGTGATTTCTGTATCATTTGCATACTGTTACTTTTCGTTAAACTCAGCCTACTTCTATTAATGACATTGTGTTAATTATGATGCAGAAAAGACAGTAATTTCAGTTGGGGACAGAAAGACTTAGTCTTAAATGTCAGCAGTGCTCAACATGTTTTTGTGTATTTAGATCTACAACTTTTGCTTTATTTTGGGTAGTATAACTGCTAGTAACATACCTGCCAAGTGAGTATCTCTGGAAAACTTTGTTGACATTTGCCATTACTCTCCTTCATTGACCATTGACAAGGTTAATTATGTCCTCTTCTCTTCTCCCACTGCTTTGAGACTTGAACATACAAATTGCTAGTATGAGGCTGTATCGTAATTATCTCCCTAGCAAGCACAATTTCTGGACAATATCTGCTCAACTTTATATTTGCTCACATGATCTTAATGAGTGTGAACATTTTAAGGCCTCCATGCTGTGGGCCTGATGTGCTTCCCAAAACTTATTCCCACCATGCCCCGACACAGAACTGGGCTAGGCAGTTTTGACTGCTTCCATTTCAAGAATAGGCCTGAACTTGCTGGCTGCTGTGCTTTGCTTTCACTCATGTTCCCAGCATGTTATTTAATGGAATTTATATGAGCTCTGGCACCAGACTTATCTCAGTTTGAATCCCTGGTTTGACAGCCATGTGATATTTGGCAAATTTCTTAATCTTTTTGACCCAGTTATTCTATCTTCAGAATTGGAAAGATAATGCCAATTTCTCAAGTTTGTGAGCTTTACATGAGGCAGTATATAAAAACATCAGCACAGCATCTAGCCACATGGTAGACAGATGTCATCATTGAACCTCCTGCTCCATCTTTCCTCTGCTCTGAGTTACAGTTCCCTCTTTATAGAAATTGTATCCCTTCATCAAGACTGAATTGAAATGCCATTTTCTTTCATTGCTCTTCTAACTAGCAAGACTGTAGTCTTTTTTCTTTGATGTACTGCAGTACTCAAACTTACTTTAAATTATTTAGAATGTGTTTCCTTGTGTCATGGTTATTTTGTACTTGCTTATCCCTATATTGTGAGTTCTTACAGGAAAGAAGTCTTAATCTTTGTTTGATATAAATCATAGTAGGTATTTGCTAAATTGTGTTAGTAAATGACCATTACTTACAAAGCAAATATTAAAATGAAGTTTCTTTAACCAGTTTTTTTCTTCAATCTTTCTTAGCCACAATGATTACAAAATAGAAAATGAATGTTTTTGTCACCTCCGTTGTGATAGCTCACCTTTTTATTCATATATCCTTCAATTGAGAGACTCCTATAACTCGTCCCTTGACACTAAAAAGAAGAGATTCATTTATATTTCTAGAAAGGAAGAGGGAAAGCATATTTATTCATCTTTGAGACAAGTTTCATGTTAGTGGGCTATAGCTCATTGAGAAAGAATGGTAAAATTTGACTACATAATTTTTAAATTAATAATTGCAATTTAAAACAACATATGTACTTACCTTTTAGAAAATCTTTTATTCTTCTGTGAACCAATGTGGTATTTATTTATAGCCTTGTCTATTATTCTGTCATCTCCAGTGAGAGGCGATCTTTTTACTATTCTTGAATTGCCTTTGTATTTGTTTTTGTCAGAGACTTTAGTGTTATCAGATTTCTGTATGATGTTGAGTTGGAATTTTTTTGTGCAGCCTTTTGTTTTGCACTGTTGTTTTGTGATGGTGGGGTAACTAGGAATCAGTATTTCAAGTAGGATTGGGAGGGCCAGATAACTTGTTAAAAGAACGCAGTCAATCTAGCCTTTCAGTTTGAAGTTAAAATCAAAAAAATAAAAGATAACAAATTTAGAAAACAAAGATGAAGGCCATCCTCAAGTGGCTAAATTTATTTTGTCATATCATGAAGCATCATCTTTTTACATATCAACTATAATTTTATAAAACATATAAAAAGAATTACATTATAAAAAAGTAGAATCAAGAGCTCATATGAAATACCACAAGCCAAGATCCTCCTTCCTATAAGTTATCTCTATCTTAAACAAAATCACTTCTTTTTCTCACCTTACACATTTTAGCTGATACATGCTGAAGATATCAAAAGATGAGAAACATGGGCTCCGGTTAAAGAGATGTAAGGCTAAAGTCCCTCACTCAATCTTTGCCACTTTCAGATTCTATTTTGAAAGTAGTGACAATATTTAAATTTAGCTCTGGTTTCCCTTTTGATTTCAGTAAATGATCAACACTTGACCTATTTATATATCATTTGTGCAAGAACTCAAGATTTTTTTCAAAAAGGTAGATTTTTAAAATTTCAAACGTACACTCAAGAAGTTTCTAAAATTAGAATTTGTAATAGTAATTCCCAATACTCAACAACTCAAGGATAATTTTCCAAGCTTTAATTTTTATTTACGGATTTCCAGTTTTATTCAGCAAATTTTAGTTTACCGAAATTTCAAAGTACTTGTTAATTGATTATGTATTTATGTGAATAATTGCCTAATCAGAAATACAGAATATTAAGTAAGAAAAGGATAAAGTTAATAAGTTTTTTTAATGGATTATTAAGTCATGTTAGAAAATGGAATTTTTATGTCTTTTAGGGAGTACACCTTTAGGATGCTATAAAAAACTAATAGAGTATCATAAGAATGGACACCTTTCTTTTAAATATGTGAAGACCTTTAATATGGATGAATATGTAGGTAAGCTGTACTTAAATATATTGAATATATTATTTGGATATGTTATATTTTGAATAAAATGAATGTAGTTTTAGAATATTAGTATATTTGAATTTATGTTTTGAATATAATATTAATATATGAATATATTTCTAGAATATAATATACTGCCTTGAGATGAGGTTGGTAGTCTATATAAAAACCTGTATTTTTGTGATAGCACAGAATAATGGAAGGTATAAAGGACTAGAAATCAGAAGATCTGCATTCATCCTTGACTCTGCCACTCAACAGTGATGTAACTTTAAGCCAGTCTACTGACATTTCTCATTCTCTTTCTTCTTAAGGCAGAGTTAAAACCAGTGTTGTTGGGATCAACTAAGAAATGTATATGTAAAAGTAATTAGTTAAGTATTTTTTTTCAAATAAAAAGCTATACTGGTAGCCCTGAAGTGTTTATAATTTATTGTCAACTTGCCTACCTGAAATCTATGGTGCATAGAAACTGTCAAAATTTAAATACAGAAATACATAATGATAGCATAAATGATAGCCAAAGAACTGCTGTGAACCCACCTAATCTGCACACATATAGGATGAATAGAGGAGAAACACGGCTATCATTTCATTTGTATGTCTAATTAATTTATTTTGAGCTAGCTGGGCGCCATGGCTCACGCCTATAATCCTAGCACTTTGGGAGGCTGAGGTGGGTGGATGACATGCGGTCAGGAGTTCAAGACCAGCCTGGCCATAATGGTGAAACCCCATCTTAAAAATAAATAAATAAATAATTATTTTGAGCTTAACACATAAGTCAGTTTCACTGGTTAAAATTTTGTGTTTGAGAAGTGTAGTATAATGATTAAACGCACATGAACTATATGTGTTTGAATCCTAACTGCTTTGTAAACTATGGGACCTTTGGGAAAGATCTCTGTGTTTCAATTGTTCACCTATAAAATGAGGTAACAGTATTTCATAAGATGTTTTATAAATTAATGCATACATTTAAGGTGATTAATACTGGGTATATAATCATATATTCCACATAAAAAGGCTTTTAAATTGAATATGGTATAGAGAAGTTAGAGATAGTAAATAGTGTTTATAACTTAAACAGAAAAATAAACTTTAGATTTATTTCTAGGAATTCTTATATTTTTAATAACTTCATCTTTAGGTCTTCCGAGAAATCATCCTGAAAGCTACCATTCTTATATGTGGAATAATTTTTTTAAGCATATTGATATAGATCCTAATAATGCACATATCCTTGATGGGAATGCTGCAGATTTACAAGCAGAATGTGATGCCTTTGAAAAGAAAATAAAGGAAGCTGGAGGAATAGATCTTTTTGTTGGCGGTATGTAAAAACCTTTTGTCATTAATTGTGAGTGTTTGAATTAGGGATTTTTAAACTTAAACAAGAAATCTTCCCATTGTGTAATGTAAAGAGCACCTTGGCTGTCTGTAATACCCATCTATTCTGCTACTGACTCCTATTTTACTTCATCTTCTTAAAAAAAAAAAAATCTTAAAAATTCCCATCTTAATCTTCAAATTGACAGCTGGAATTGTATACATTATGTCTTGAGAGGTAGATACCAATCCCCCATTAAACTCTTACAATTACCACTTTAAACAGTTTACCACGTTTCAAAATGAGTAATCTGTTTTTTTTTTACCTAAAAGATAGCTTCTTTTTACTATTTCTTTAAAACTCCAGCCAGCCTATTTATCAAATTACAGAGTTTAATCTGCATGAGGAACAGGTGGATTTTATCAGATCACTTTAATTGTTTCATCTTACTGAGAAATCAGTTAAGAATGATGTAAAACTTTTTAGTTATCGGCCTTAATAGGAGTTAAGCTGTATAATTGTCATAATAAATTCCAAAATGAATGTTTAATTTATGGAATTCCACTTCTAATTTATATATGTGTGTGAGTATACATAATCTACAGTTAAAAATAGAAGTTTTTTCTTTTGTAATGGCAACATGGTTTTCTATTATCAATACAAACTATCAGAGACAGCTAGCTCATTGCTGTCAGAATAGTATAACATCAACTAAAATAAAATCAAAATTGTTTTTTGCCAGATTCTTTAATATTCAGCTAAAAATACTAATCCTGTAAATTATCTGTATATAACTAATAATTAATTTAATAGAACACTGGTCAAAATTACTTGAGCTGTACTGAGGTTAATTTATTCTTGAAGTGGCCAAGTATGGTTGAGATAGTTGATTATCTTTGGGGAAAGTTGGGTTTTAAAGTCAGATGTAAAATTGTATCCTGTTTTAGCCACTTAGTATCTGTATGACCTTGCAAAGTTTATTGAAGTTCAGTATAAGTACATCATTTGTATAAGAGGATTAATATTATCCTTTCCAAAATTTGTGAGAATTAATCATGTTGTAACATGTATAAAATGCCGTACACAGTGCTTGGTATGTAGTTGGTAATCCGTAAGTGCTACTTCAGTCTTCTTTCTCTCTCCACTATAAATGCTGAAATAATTGTCCCTTAGAATTATTGAATTCCCTGGGATTTTTACCAAATTACCTCTAAGGACATCCAGTGAGATTGAAGTCTTCTCTTTGAGATAGTTTTTACTTCTGCCTAGCAGAGCCAGTATTATTTTCTTTCTTGATGGAATTATTATTTTGTTGGAGCAAGAAACCAAGTTTGACTAATGCTTTTCAAATTAGTAGTTTACCTGTTTTAAATAAAATTTATTAATATGGCTTCAGTAATCCTAGAGAACATTTGTACACTCCTGCTCTATACATATGGCTCAATTTTGAGATAATTACCATTTGTACCTTCCAATATGCAGGCCAAGACAATAGATGTTTAAGAGTGTCTGCGGACTGCACAGACCATCTATCTTTAGATTTTCTAACTCCACACAAAAATCTAGTAGAATTTCTCGAATACAACACACTTGAACTGCTTATATCAAAAAATTTTTCCACATATTTACTGTAATGCAAAAAAAAAAAAAAAAAAAAGGCTCTTAGTTGTTGGAGGCTCATTATTAAAAGTGGCTGCTTGAAAAATATCATTTGTGGACTTTCTCTCCCACCCCATTAATTTATTGACCTTACATAAATATGCATGTGACAAATCCCTTGAAGACTCAAAGATAGGAAATATATTTTACTATGGGGAACGAGAGTGATAAGAACACTTGATTTTGTTCCTTTGCCTGCCTTCCAGAAAGTGCTCAGTACATAAAATAATATTTATGGCTATAACTCTTATCTAAGATGCCTGGTAAAACTTTCCTCTTTTCTTATAACTCTAAGTCATTTTGTACTTATATTGAGTTAGTTATTTATTTTTTTTGGAGGGGGTGGGTTATGTATAAACCACCTCAGTTTTCCTTTTGAAATAGATGTTGCATACATTATAATTATTTATGTTTGTCACTGACACCACTAAAAAGAATTTGACTTGGTTTTTTAACCAGTCTGTCTTAAGCTTCCTGTAGTTGTCTCCCCACTCCTCCCCTTTCCCAAATATATTTAAGAGAGTTCCTATGCCTTTTTGCTTAACATCTTCACTGTAGTCATGTGATGATCCAATGCCTGACAGTTTATATATACCATCTAAAGGACATAATTGTGCATATAGAGAGAAGGATTATTGCATTTTCTTTGAATTTTTCCTTATTTGGGATGCCCTAATATTGGATGTGTATTCATGAAAGAATCTAATTTGTTGATCTAGGTTTATCATTGGATTTTTAGATGAGGATTGGCATCTGGGTCTTACCACTACCCTTCTTTTGTTCCAGGGTTTGGTTAATAAAAACTCTAAGAACTGTGCCAAATGGGATCAAAATATCAGCTTTATTAAAGGTAAAGTTGAAATAGAGATTGCAGTTTGGGCTTGAAGCCAGAATGGGGTTTTTCACTCCTCCCCTTCGAATTGGAAACAGTAGAATGAGAAGAGCTCAAAAATGTTAATCTGCTATTGCTCATTCCAGGGCATTAGAGCAGAGTTCCCTTTCCTTGGTAGAGGGAAAGAAAAAGGAGGAAACATGTACTCAAATGTTCTCACTCTTCCTCTAATGGCAAACGTGTTGAGAGAAAGGGTCAAGGTGTATCATGTAATTCCTGACTTAACCCTGGCAATAAGATATACAAACATGGTTTTTTAAAAATAAAATCTAGGACTGGTGCAGTGGCTCACGCCTGTAATCCCAGTTCTTTGGGAGGCCGAGGCAGGTCGGTCATTTGAGGTCAGCAGTTTCAGACCAGCCTGACTAACATGGAAAAACCCCATCTCTACTAAAAAGAAAAGAATTAGCCGGGCATGATGGCGCATGCCTATAATCCCAGCTAGTCAGGAGGCTGAGGCAGGAGAATCGCTTGAACCCCAGAGGCGCAGGTTGCGGTGAGCCGACATCATGCTATTGCACTCTAGCCTGGGCAACAAGAGCAAAACTCCATCTCAAAAATAATAATGATAATAAAATCTAGCTTTACAATAAAATCTAAATATATTAACTTTTAAAATATCTTAAGGTAATAGTGTTTTGGGTTTTTCTTTTGGTGGTGGTGTTGAGATGGAGTCTCACTCTGTCACCCATGTTGGAGTACAGTGGCTTGATCTTGTCTCACTGCAGCCTCTGCCTCCCAGGTTCAAGCAATCCTCCTGCCTCAGCCTCCCGACTAGCTGGGACTACAGGCACCTGCCACCTTGCCCACCATGGAGACAGGGTTTTGCCATGTTGGCCAGACTGGTCTCAAACTCCTGACCTCTGGTGATCCACCTGCCTTGGCCTCCCAAAGTGCTAGGATTACAGGCATGAGTCACCATGCCTGGCCTGGGTAACAGCATTTTTAAAAAGGAAAAATAAAAAGAAGACAGTGGGGAAAACTAACATTTTGATTTGGTTGCATGCTTGGATTCTTTGATTTGCTAGAAAAAGGAAATAACTAATGGGACCAAAAGTAAATTAACTGGAATGATTCTAGGGTAACTCACAAACTGAAGGTAAAGTTAAAACAACCAAGTCTTTGGAAAAACAAGAACCAGAGAACCTCAGATCTCAGAAGTAGAAACTCATCATCAGTCTTCTCCCTGCATTACTGTCATCCAGTGTTTCAATTCTTCATGCCTTTTTCCTTACTGTATCCCTGGTCAGGATTCAGATCCAGACAGATTCTGATTGGCTCAGCCTGAGACAAGTGCTTATCTCTAGACCACAGTCACTCTACTTAAGAGGGATATGGGAAATTGTCATTGTTCCAGCCCCTGTGGTAAGGTGAGAAAGGCAGAAGAGAACAAGGTGGGAGATGGAAGAAACTATACTGAGCTGACCAAAGAATAGCAACCATATATTCATTTATTCAGCCATTATTTAATAAGTGCTTCCTACCTGTCACTTGTTGTTCTAAATGGTAAGAATATAGCAATGAAGATAAAGCCCTCACTTTCATGAAGAGTACATGTACATTCTATGCTTAGAGCTATAGGAACACAGGAATGACACTACAGACAGTGAGTTTTAGAGATGTTTCAGAGATGCTAATATCTTAATTTAAACTTAAAGGCTGAATAAGATTTAGCCACATTTAAAAAATTTTATATCAGGAACCTAAGTTTTTGACAGTTATTCATAGCTAACAAGCAAATATCTTGACCCTCCTCCATTATTAACCTTTGCTTATAATTTCAGCTTAGGTTAGCTGTATACTTCTGTTAAGGCCCAAATCACCAGTGAGGTAATCTATAGTAGATCTTAGTAGACTTCATATTTTTTTCTAAAGTTTTTATTTTCCTGATCCCATCCTTCCCTCTTTACACATATATAGAGAAATAATAAATGTTAGGGATATGTATATCTATGAGGAGAAACAGAACACTTTTACAAATCTAGAGAAGTTAATGTCTATAATTATATATATTTATAAGCAGATACATACTTAATAGTAGAAATAGTGCCTATTAACTACATGTAGGTCTGGCCTTATGTCTCCATATTAAAAATTCCTAAATTGTTGTACTTTGGCATTCTGTATCTGCTTCAATATTCGTTTCTTCCTCCATTTTTCAAAACTGGGTTACTCTTGTCATATTTTATCTTGTCGTGGCCTGGGAAAATTTTGCTAGAATTGTGCGCTGTCAGTAATATACACATATCATTAAATACACAGAATATAAATGTAAAAAGATACATTTTCTTCGAAGAATTGGCAGAGTTATTTTTTGGTTGAGGTTGCCAGAAATGTGACTAGCTACTTAGGGTACTTGTAAATAAAACTTGATTTATTTATGTAATGGAAACAGTCTTAATTTTGTGAAAAGAATGACCTTCCATTTCTTTCAAATAAGGAATATCATATACCTGTCTATATTTTAGACGTAATCCTAGAATATTAGACCTGGCACTAGATCTCTTTAAAGCGGTGTTTTTAAAACTGGTTGTCACCCATTATTAAATCATGAAAGCAATATGGACAGTCACATGCAACATTATTTTTTTGTTTTGTTAATGAAATGCAATGTAATAGAAAACAGCTTGTATGGTTCCTAGTAATGGTAAGTATGATTTCATGCAGTTTTTGCTTTAATTTATATGTTTCTGTTGTATGTGTGTATATATATGCTAGATTGCAATATCAAACGTTATTTCTTACAAGAGTTACAGTCAGAAAAGTTTGAAAAAAACTATTGCCTTCAGAATTATCTTGTCCAATCCACACCTTTTTGTAAGTGAGGAAACTATACTACAGAAAGGTCTACTAGTTACTTGCTCTATCTGGACTACAACCAAGTAAATTAAAGTGTGACTATGAAGATGTCCAAGTTAGGAATCAGAAGACAGATTCGAGTCCTGTCTCAGTATTTACCCAGCTGTGACCTTGAACAAGTCACGTATTTTTCTTGAGCATCAGAGTTTCCTTTTGTGTTTAAAAAAAGGTGGAGGAAAAGAGGGAAATAGATATGCCTAATCTGACCATCTCATAAGATTATTAAGTAATATTTAATAATCTGTTGTGATGATGCATGTGAAGGGGCTTTATAAATTATATACTATAAGGTGATACTTAATCTTACTATTAGGATCATGCCAGCTCATTGCTAAGCATGTAGAAAACATGGAAACATTTGTTGAATCAATACAGAAATATTTTAATGCAGTAATAGGAATTCAAGTATAAAATAAAACAAGGTAAGTGATCTTTTGGGGGTTCCTTAACGCACACTGAACTTTGTGAAACCTGTGTATTTCATGTGTATATGTATATGTATTTATATTTCTTTTCAAAGGAATTGGTCCAGATGGTCATATTGCCTTCAATGAGCCGGGATCCAGTTTAGTGTCAAGGACAAGATTAAAGACTCTAGCAATGGATACCATTTTGGCAAATGCCAAATATTTTGATGGAGATTTATCAAAAGTGCCAACTATGGCTCTCACTGTTGGTGTGGGGACAGTGATGGATGCTAGAGAAGTAAGCACTAAATGTTCTTTGCTGTTTTTCCTTTTATGTCAATATATTAATATTTTGGAAGGATTACGATGCTAAGTGATATTTTGATTGCATTCTATTTGCAGTATAAGTTCTTTTCTAGTGTTCAGTAACTAATTTTTGTCAGTCTCATTGACAGGTTTAGGGATCAATTAAGTCTATTGGAGCTGTAAATTAAGAATTTAGCACCACTACTTTTGAGGTACTACTTCACTTGCCTATTCCTCTTTGGGTTTGAGGTCTGAAAATCTTACTGATCATATGGTTTTCTTTTTATTGAAAGTGCCTCATGAAAGGACTGTTGGGACAAAGATGCAATGCTAGTTACACTACACCTTTTTTGGAGCTCTCACGACAATTTAAATGCTTCTCTACTATATGCAGGATGATAGAGTCCTATCGGTTTCCAGCAGAAAAGCAACTCAGCTAAGGCTGGATCTGTTCTACATTTGGTGTATTTAAGCATAAAAGAGCTCTGAACAGCAGATCCTACATAATTTTTAAGTTTTTATAAATTGGACTGCCAATTTCTTCCTTGAGAATACAGAACAAATTGTAGTCAGTTCATGGTTATATGTAGTTAAATTATATAGAAACCTAGAAATCCTTTCTGGTAGCCAAATTGGACAGGTCCAGAGGAAAAAAGTATAGACAAAGTATGATGAATAAGAAACTGATCTTGATATTTATATTTAGACTTGAATATACAAATAGAACTGTCAATCAAAATATGAGAAACTCACCCAAAAATCATAGATATGTGGAAAAAGACCTTTCAAAGACTGAAATTTCATAGTCAATGTGAAAAAAGAATTTCAGAGCAATCTTATTTCTAAAATATGAAACAGTTATGTAATAAATTTTTACATTTAACAAGATGTAAATTTTAATGCAATTTAATTACTCAAATACTGAATTTTTTTCTTTGGGTCAGTTTTTACCCAGACAGGAGTGCAGCACTGTGATCACAGTTCACTGCAATATCAATCTTCTGGGTTCAAGAGATCCTCCCACCCCAGCCTCCTAAGTAGCTGGGACTTCAGGTGCACACCACCATGCCTAGCTGATTTTTCCCTTTTTTTTTTTTTTTTGGAAGAGGCAAAGTCTCACTATGTTACTCAGGCTAATTTCCTCATTTATTAAAAATCATATTTGATTTAAAAATGCTAACCAAGAAGGCATGTGGAGGATTTAATATGAGGTTATAGATTTTTATAAATCATATCAGTTTATGGAATGACTAAATGTTGATTATTCTTTAAAATTAGCTTACTTCATAACCTTTTAAAATAGTGTTATTGCTCTACACTTACTTAAGTAGCATAAAGCTGTATCAATGCAAAATCTGCCTGAGCACTGGTTCTCAAACATTAGTGTACATAAGACTCACCTGGTATCCACACGTAGATTGATGCTTTAAATTTAAGGATTCTGCAGTTTAAACAAGCATACCAAATTATTCGATATAGTTTTTCCTTTTCCATGATATGAGAAATAATCTCCTTGAGAATAGAACAGGTATAATAGAACTAACCACATATAAGAACAACTCTACTTAGAGAGCATGTTGTTTCTATGCCTTAGCCATAGATAAACACCAATAATGAATTCTTCATCTTCCCCTAAGCTTCCAGCAGCCTCCTTTCCTTCCACTCCCTTCACAATGTTAATGCTAGGTATGTACTTAACCTTTTTTGCCAATAAAAGTTTGGTGTCTTTTGTTTTTGCCTCAGTATATACACTTGATCTTGAGATTTCTTGCCACCTGTCCCATTACGTTTTTATAGAGTCTGCTTTAATAGTGAAAAGACTCTTGGCACATATTGTCTAATTGTTAGAACTTTAACAATGTAAAAGGCAATGTAATGTAGTAGTTAATTGCTAATAATATGGACTGTAGAATAAAACTCTTTATCTTACCAAAACCTTGGGCAAGTTATAGAATATGCCTTGGGCAAGTTATAGAATATGCCTTAGTTTCCTATCTTTAAAATATGAGTAAGAATAGTATTTCTCTCATGGTGTTGTTTTGAGGAGTTGAATGATGTAATTCAAGGAGAGTGCAGAGTATTTCCTCCCATTTTAGGCCTAGTTATAAAATATGTTAAAACCAAATTTGTTTTAAATATTTTAGAACTACAGCTATTTTAACATTCTTTTTAAAAACAATAGTAATAAGGAAAAAAATTCATGTTTAAAGATTACATTACAAAAACCTGTGTGTAGATGAGGTGTTAAATGGGATCAGTTTACAGCTGAAAGAAGATAAAGAAGATCCTGGCATGTATACATTAACACTTACATGCCATTACATTATTTCATTGGCATTTAGAGATTGGGGACCAAGAGCTTGGATTTTCAGTAGTTTATAAGGGTAATTATCAGTCATGTGCTTATAAGACAGTTCCTATGTTTACGTAGATCCTTGATCCTTCTTTAAATCCAGTTTTTATTCTGAGTCAGCTTTGGATAACATATGTTCAGTAAAATACTCTTCAGACTTTTCTTGATAACTCTTCAAAAATCTGCTGTTTCAGAGTCTTTGCTTTTCTGATGTAATTGCTTATCTCAACTATAGCAATTTGGTGTATCATTCTAGATTGTATAAACATTTGAAGACCTTATAATTCTGCTTTTGCAAGGCAGTCCTTTTCTTTTTCTTCATTCTCCCAGGTTTATTTTATACATCTTCATTTACTATGTTAGTGATTACAAGTATTATAGTGTTTGCACTAATACCCCATAACAAGATATTGTTTTGCTTCATTAAAATAGAAGCAACATTTTGTGCTGTTTTGTTACCTTAAAAAGTAGAAATAAAAACCTTGAACTGTGATGTGGAGCTATGTATTTTTCTTTTTCTCTTAGAAAAATATTGCTGCTGGAGTCCATGTTTAAAAAAAATAGAGCTTCTTACTCATTTGGAACAAGTTTTAACAATTGATGTTCATAATCTTTCAGGTAATGATCCTCATAACAGGGGCACACAAGGCATTTGCCCTGTACAAAGCAATCGAAGAAGGAGTCAATCACATGTGGACTGTTTCCGCTTTCCAGCAGCATCCTCGAACCATTTTTGTATGTGATGAAGATGCTACTTTAGAATTAAGAGTTAAAACTGTGAAATACTTTAAAGGTGAGCACTGAATTTCAAAAGCCGACTGAAATACTCGGTTAAGGATGACAATTAAAACTTAATTGTAGAATTAAATTTCATAAAACTGTGGAGTTGAATCTTACACTGTGACCTATTGGAAAGTGGCAACACATAGCTGGTTCTTTCAAGGAATGGAAAATTCTCACCTCAGATAATACTATCTTCAGAGTAGTACCTGTTTTTTTTCATGAAGAGAATCTCTTCATTCTTGAAATCCAAGGTTAAGTAAAATAATTTACTTTCACATTGAATATAGAAGATTAAATAACCCAAGAGAAAATTTATCTTTATTCATTCTGGATTCCTTTTCATGTTTACCAGTCCCACCTCAATCCCTCTCCCACACTCCCCTCTAAATTTAGAACCTAATAATGGATAATAGAGATCTCCTGCTGTCTCATTTAATCTTTACAATTTTAAGCCGATTTATTCCATATATTAAAGTTATAGTGGCGCAATGTTAAAGTACTATGGAATAAACTCTGAAAGTAAGCAGGAGTTTCATTGCCCAGACGTCATGTAGACTTTTCCTTTTTGCTTTTTCCTGTAGTCTAGTTCAGTAAATCTGAAACCTTGCTGTACCAGGCTGTGTATTAAAAATACATATGCTTGATGTAATGGTTTAAGAGATTTTCAAGGAACATTTTGCCTATACCTAATGTAGAACCCATTCCCTGATTTAAGAGTCAGCTCCACATACTACACATATATAAGCAAGCTGTCCAAACAGGTAATTTTTGTGAAGTTCCTATATTTACACAGCTGATATTGAAAGTTATATAGTTGTTCATATAGACAGGTCAGTGATTCACTAAGTATGTAATACATATGCCACATTTGCTACATGATTGTACCTTTTCCATCTTTATTACTCTAGTAACTAGGTATTTAATGCATATTTGAAAAAATACATGAATAAATCAAAGCTATATTTTTTGGTATTATTGCTTAAGACAAGTTCCAAAAAAACTACCAATGTGGCTCTAAGACACATTGACATTGATCTTACTAATCTTGGACTGTGTCTTAAAATTGGTTTCAGATCATAGCTTACCTGGTAGCATTTTTTTCTCAGTGGTACATAAAATAATGGTGTGTCTTACAGTCTACAGCATCTCATTCAGAAATACAGTACATTATCTTAAATTTTTAAGTCAATGCAAAGAAAACCAATAACTTTTATTTCATGTAAATGTGTCACTATGGCAAGTATCTTAAAGGTGTTATACAAATAACTGACATTTGGCAAGCACTGAAAATAGTCTTATTTTTAAAACAAAATGCTGATCATGCTTTGTATATAGTTTTATATTTGTGCTTATGTTTCACACACATTTTCCTGTTTTATTAAATATCTGAAAGCATTTTAATGGATAGTCAAGTACATGTCATAATTTATTTAAATATTTCCTTATTGTTTAAAGATTATTTCCAGTCATTTATATTTTTATCATTTAAATTACTATTTTACAAAGCCACAAATACATCAGATCAAACTGAAAAACTGTTAGCTTCTTTCTGATTTGATACGTAAAAACAAAGTGAAGACTTGTGAATAAAACAAGAGCTTTTGTTGTAGTTTTAGTTGTATTTTTCCATGTAATCCTTCAGATTTCATCCCAGAATCCTCACGATCTACAAATTTTAATTCCAGTTTTAAGAAAATTCATTTAAGATGCCACTTTCTAGTCCCACTAAGTCCCAGATAAATCCCTGTACTATCTGATTTCGTCACAATTTGGTTATCAGACTTTTACATTTTGGTGAATATTTAATAAAATACTTAATAACAGCCCATATCTCTATGACCAGGCACTATTCTAAATGCATTTTACTTATTGATTTACTTAATTCTTATAAAAAATATTATGAAATGGATACTCATACTCTCATTTTTAAATAAATTAATAGGCTTAACAGAGACGTTGAGCTACTTACCCAAAGTCATACAGCTCATATTTGGGCAGAGCCGGGTAACAGAAATCAAAATCAGGCTGATCTCTGGAGTATAGGCCTTAGTCTATTCTGTTATTCTACCTTCCACAATAAAGTCTAGGTAAGATACCATCTACATCAAAATTATATTTCTATCTGCTTTCTTTCCCCAAATCATATTGCTTCCAAAAAAGGTATATAGACATATGTTAGAGAATTTAAATTAGAAGGGTGGTAGTTGTTTATACGTATTTAGTTCTTTCATCTACGTAAACTGTAAGCCTTTCTGAAAAATTTTGAAATAGACCATTCATGAGAGGTTAGCTGCATTGCCTAAAGAGGAAATAGTATTTTCCACTTTGGAGCTGTATTTCTCAAGAGGCTTCAAGACACCAGCCTCTGTTAGGATACCTCATTCAATATAAAGACAGAATTTAGATATTCTGGGCTACATATGGGCCTCATTTTATAGTATTTTAGTAAAGGGTAGAGCAATTAAATATTCGTAAATGTACACATTTCAAATGTAGTTTGTATAAATTTTTCATCCCTTCATTGAGTTACTAGTATATCAAAATACTGGAGGATGTAAATTCCTATAATTCTCATCCATGACTCTTCAGATTCCATTCACATCACTACCCTTTTTTCTGTCATCACTAAAAAGTGCCAGCCAGAATCTTAAAGGGTTCCGTTTAGTGCCTAGATAAGATCAAAGTTAACTAGATCCAAAACAACAAAAATTGTCAGTAAATGCAAGTGTATTTCACTATGTACCTTTTGAAAGATAAAAATCACAAGAAAACAAATTTAGTACCTGGGGATTTGTTTTATTCATTCTTGCTTTTCACTTTTGCTTTTTAAATAGAACAGCTTTATGTCTTTGATTTTAGTATATTTTCATGACTTTGTCATCATGAATTTGTTTCTCTTTGTATGTAGGCTCCACCCTAGTAGTTTGACCAAGGTAGAATGAGTTCATTTTGAGTCAAAATCATAAAAGTTACTTTGATTAGACATTGGTTAAAATCTGTGACATTTAACCTTTCTTCTGTTAAGGTGTCAGGAAGTCTGGTGCATTTTTATCAAAACAATTATTTCTGATTGACTTAACTAGCAATTATTTATATAAAATTTATATGTAGAAAGTTGTCGGTTTTTACATGAGGTCACAGTAAATATCTGACTTAATATCTAAAAAGCAATTAATAGAGTTTTCAAAATACTTACTTCTAGTTTGGAAGCAGTCCTGTTTGATGTATAAGAGATATGTCCAATATATAGAAAAACAAACTTTATAAAGGAGTTGAATTTTTTATGTTTTTCCTTATATGTTAAGTTTCATGTATTTCAAAATTTTAAAAGTTTCATGTATTCTTTCCATAATCATACTTGTTAGCAAATGACAGATGAATACTATTTAAGTAGAAAAGTGATCCTCCACAAAGTCATACTCTGGAAAATCTTACCTCCTCTAAATCATACAGCTGATACTACCCTTATCTTTGTTTTTCCCTCTCCCACTGGATGTTAAGTTTCAGTTGCTAATATGATCTTCAAGTAGGCTGTTGAGAAGCAAGCATTCTCTTTCAGCTGCAGCACTAGTGAATGGAATGCTTCCCCCTTCCCTCCTTTGAAGACTCCTGTTCTTATGGTTAGAATTTCTACTACTGCACAAACACTTACCAGTGTTTGTTGCTTGTCCCTTAAAAGTGGGTCTTTCTCAAAGCTGGGATTTTAGAGTGCTTTTTGCAGCCTTTCTGGCAAGGAACATCTATATACTAACAAGCACCCTATCTCTCCAATCCATTAATCCCATTTCCTGCAAAAACCGAGTTGTAAGTACCTTTCCCCAGCCTCCCATGTTCTTAATAACCTGAAAAATTTAATTCATTTCTTTACCCTCCAAAATATAAAATATCTAGTTTATTAACTGGGTTAAAGACAGTCTTTTTAGAACTTTTTTCTCCCCAAAGAAATATAGGACTGAGGCATTAAGACAGAAGCAATTGGAAGATCAGTTATTTCCCAAGAAGCTTTCATAGGTAAGAGCAGTCTGCAAGCATATGTACCAATTATAAAATGAAAGTTACAATCTACCTGATTTAAAATCTAAATTTCTATTCTGAAGTAAATGATTTAGTACAGGTTGTTTTCTGTATTGTTTTAGTAACTGTCCTTCAATGTAGAATTTGTAATCAACCTTTGTCGTAAATACACATGCCAAACTAGTTGAAAATAATTTTCCAGATGAATGGATAGGGTAATGTATTAAGAGTAAGACAGCAGTTCTTAGCCCCTCACTAGAATCTAGTAGAGGAACTGCCAGAGGATCAAGATCGACACACACTTTTAGATGTAATGAAAATATATTATCTAAGTTAATATTCAAATTTGTCATACTGATTCTCTTTGAAGACAAGAACTGCTCTTCTGGTTACTCCCAAAGTACCTATACACATTCTAGATCTGCAATGTTACATAATTATAAATTGGTATTTGCTAGGTAGATAAAACTAGACATTCTGAAACACTTCTATTTGTACTTTTTCAATAAACTTGACTATATCAAGATGAGAACCAAACAGACTTACTGTATCTTATAAAAAATATTTTGTTGTCTAAAGTAAATGAGATAGTTCAAAATTAACAAAAACAACTGGAACTGTGCTTTTTTTCTTTAAGGTCTAATGCATGTGCACAATAAACTTGTGGATCCACTATACAGTATGAAAGAAGGAAATTGAAGGAGATTGGAGCAAAATTCTGCTTGAATGAACTGAGCACTTTTTTCTAAGTAGTAGATGAATTTTCAGCTATGCAATATGGCAAAACTTGGGAAATTTTGAAGACTGTCATTTTTTCATTCATATATCTATGTTAAACATTCCATATTTTGAATATTTATATCTTGTACTACAATTTAAGAAAAGTAGCTGGCTCTCAAGATTGACTGGCTATTTATTGTAAAGTACTGAAGTCACATAGCCACATATAAAACAGCATAGAAATGTCTTGCCTGTTTAAAAAGTCATCTTAGAGGTAGAGTGTACACATCAGGTATCATTTTGTGATATGACTCCAGTGGTGGCATATATTTTCATTTTTTTAATGACAGGAACACACTCCAGATCTTTCAGATGGCAAACTCATTGCAGATCTTCACTTTTGGAATGTGATCTTTATATTTTCTGTGCATTACACACATGCTTTTCTGCACGTGGTTGCCTTAGTCATCTTCCTACAGCACCATCTAGACATCAAAAATTGTGCTATATATTGTTGGTAAAGGAAATTTGAAGAGATGACAGTGCCTAAAAGTACAGTTTACATCCTTTTGGAAAGTATGTGTAAGTGCATGTTTTTTGTGCACCTTCTTCTATAGCACTTTTTTACAAATATCTTATTTTTATTTATTGACTTGGGTTCATATCCCTAATATAAGTATCTTGGCAGTTACGAGCTTTATACCTACCAACCCACTTAAGGAAATTCTTTTGAAGAATATTTTCTGATTATTGTTAAACTTAGTATATGATTAGCTTTATTCCTTATAAAATGTCTAAATGGATATGAAGTATGTATAAAAGGAATTACTGTAAACTTTAGATTGCCATAACAATTTACATAAAAGTATATTGTTTTCTATCTTTAACTCAAATAAAGTGTGTAAAAAGTTATCTAAATTTTATTTCCAGAAGTGAAACTGAAGAACATATGCATTCAATTCCCAACAGTTACAGTACATATGACCCTGCGTTTATTTTCGGTTTGTTGCCATCATGCATTAGGAGATTTGGGTTAAAAGACATCTCTGTGTCTGTGGGGAGCAAAATGTTTCTTTTCTTTTGCTTACTTTGCATCTCATAAATCCACCTGGTAGAGGAAGCCTTACTTATATGCTTGTCTGTGTGATTAAAATGTATTTAGTTTCTTAAAATAGTAAAATAGCAAATAAAAAATAAAATTGGTAATAGGGTTTTATGATTAAAAGTTGGGGTGGGATAAATTATGCTGCTTTACTTTAATTCCAGATGATGTTTTAATAGCCTTATAAATGTTTTTTAAATAACTAGTGAATCAGTAGCATTCCGCTTACACTTCCAGTAATAAAAATTGTTTACTACAAACTATGCTGACTACCTACCTTAGAAAGTCATACAACATCACAGTGAAAAAGTTAAAGGTACCTGCTGCTGTGGTACATGATTCACCAGTTATTTCTGTGCTTTAAAAGTCTAAAAATTCTCCTTTCCATTTTCCTGCCCTTGATGTTAGGGGCTTAGTTGATATTCTTGTACTCAAGCGCCTCCACAAGCTGAGGAATGGAAAACTGGCCACTTTGATTCCCTAACTCAGGAGCTAAGCTGCTGTCAGGCAAATAACTTAACTTTTTGAAGAAAGAAACCACTGAATCCCAGCTCTGTCAAGAACTGTGACTTTGGGAAATAAAGAAGTCTCTGCTTCCCCCAAATCTGTAAATACACTGAATGAGGGAAGCATACAGAGCTCAGCACGGTGGTTGTCACATATTAAATTCAATAAACAGTGCTTATTTTAATATTGGTAAGTGTTTAAACATATTTTAATGTTTGCTAAAATCTTAGTAATATTAGGTCATCTGAGGAATACACTTAGAAAGCACACAACTCCAAATCACTAAGTCAAAAGTGGGAAGGGGAAAGAAATTAAGCTTATGGAACATGCTTTTTTTGGTGCCATTATAACTGAAATGGTTTCCTAAAGAGTCATAGGTTAAGAAAACAAAATTAATCTGAATTCAAAAGGCTAATATTGATAAATTATTAAATAGCAAGCACATAGTACATATTATGTTCTAATTTGTAACTTTCCCTAGGCAGTGACAGAATAGAACACTTGGTTTTACAAATTATAATTAGTCTCAAATAATGTCATTTTCAAAATACTACTGTCATGGTTTTTCAGTTTTCATGTTTTATGAGAAGCTGGAAGGGGGAGGGAAGATAGATTAGATGATAATTTATGTATCTAGGACTATGTCACAGGCTACTTCTACAGGTAATTTTAAGTAAATCCCCACTTTAATACTGTGAGCTCAAAATATCTGAGATAGGTCTCAAGTCAGTTTAGAAAAGTTTATTTTCCCACGGTTAAGGATGTGCCTGTGACACAGCCTCAGGAGGTCCTCACCACATGTGCCCAAGTTGGTTGGGGCACAGCTTGGTTTTACACATTTTAGTGAGACATGAGACATCAATCAGTGTGTGTAAGGTGTACATTGGTCCTAAAAGGTGGGACAGCTCAAAGAAGGGAGGGAGCTTTAACCATAGGCAGGTAAGAGACAAAAGGGTTGCGTTCATTTGGCTTTCTGATTAGCCTTTCTCTGAATATACAATTTACATGTGAGAGGAAGGTAGAGATATAGTCAGTTACATTTTAATCTGGTTTACTGAAACACGGGGCCGAGGAAGCAATCATTCATGCATTTGTTTCACGTGAGCAGAAGGATGACTTTGAGTTCTGTCTGTCCTCTGTCCACAAGGAATTTCCTTGTGGGCTGTCTTATTTAGGAATAAAATGGAGGCAGGTTTGCCTCAGTAAGTTCCCACCTTGACTTCCCTTTGGCTTAGTGATTTTTAAGATTTATTTTTCTTTCACATAACCTTAGTATAAAATTCATCCTTGATAGTATTTATCCCTAAACTACATTTTCTTCATTCAATTCATTCAAGGTAAAAGATAAAGATCAATGGCTAAATAATGTTATCTTGCTGTAATATAGTCTGCAGTCTGGTTTGTTCATTGGCTGTATAAACATGGGAGCTGAGAGCTTTGAAAAGATATTTACTGGCTATTAAATCCCAAGTTACTTTAAAGTTTAAGTCTCTTTAATTATGAAATTCAGACAATTATTAAATTCATTAAGAGTTCCCGGTAATACCAAACATCTGGTCATTTTACACAAATGTGTTCTGAATGTCTGAAAGAAAGCTCTCATCCTTAACTTAGATGTATGTAAACCCTTAGTTTCAAACTAACAACCTGATAAAATCTATAAACATTTTATCATGAACTGGAGCAGATGTTTAGATAGTATGTTATTTAAGTTTACTGTTTAATAAATGATTCATATATCAGATAAATTAATCCTGCTAACAAATGTGACACTTAAGGTGATTTTTAAAATCCTTTAACTTAAAGTAGATGGAATCTTAAGTATGGGGCCTTTTAGTGTCAGTAAGGGAAAATTCCATGAAAACAAAATATAGCAAGTCCTCACTTACTGAGATTCATGGAAATTGTGACTTTAAATGAAATGATGCATTAAGAAACCAAGGCTTTTTTTCTCATCAATGTTATAAACCACTTAGAAGGAAATGACATTATTCAAGGACTTTCTTCTACGTGTCATTTTGCTTAAAGTCAGCTTCTGAGAACCTTTTAATGACATTAAGGACTTAACTGTAGTTATGATTGAGTGCTTACTATGTCATGCACTTCTGAGTATTTAATGTATTACCTCATTTAATCTTCACAACAACAACCACCTATGTAGGTAGTAGTATAATCTCAATTTTACCGAAGAGAAAACATGTTAATTTGGCCAAGGTCACCTTACTAGTGAATGGTTGGAACAGATATTAGAAAACAGACAACATTGCTTCAAAATCTAAGCTCTTACCTACCCACTCATTACTCCCTTTCAACAAAAGCCTAGTAGGTTATTTAAACCTGAAAACCCTGAATGTAACAAGCAAATTGTATAATTTTCATTCTGTTGTCAGCATATTACAAATTGCAATGAGAAAAAGATAGTTTTTAATTTATTAAAATTCTTTATGTTTCCCCACCAATTATTTAGAAGATTGTGTTTTCAGAACTTTTATAAAAGTATCTTTTGGAACTTCAATGTTGCCAATTTTCCTCAGCTTTTTTTTCCCTTCTGCTTGTCTCTTCAAAAGTTTCATTTTTCGAGTAATATCACCACCATACTGAAAGATATTTTAAAATATTGGAAGTCTAAGTCATTCTAAAAAATACATAATCATATGATTACATAGAGACATCAGTACAATCTTAACAACCACACCGAATTATCCATTAGGCAGACATCTCTATAATCTTCCTAGCAGATCCTGATTTTACTGTCTTCTCAAGAATGATAAAGGCTCTATTCTGGATGGAGGTGAAGATCCCCAAGGAAACCTAGTAGTATTACAATATGCATGTCAAGAATTATCAATCTCATTACTGATTCTAGGCTTGGAATTTTGACTATAAACCCACAGTCTAATACAGAAAACTCTTAATCACATAGGAATAAATGTGCCAAAACCTATATTGAGCATTTGGAGAAAGAACTGATAATTCAATTCTCAACAATATTTAAGAATACTTTTTCTTTTCTTTCCTTTTTTTGAGACAGAGTTTCTCTCTGTCGCCCAAACTGGAGTACAGTGGCGTGATCTCTGCTCACTGTAACCTCTCATGCTGCAGCCTCCTGAGTAACTGAGATCACAAGCATGCACCACCATGCCTGGCTAATTTTTGTATTTTTAGTAGAGATGAGGTTTCGCCTTTTTGGCCAGGCTGGTCTCGAACTCCTGGCCTAAAGCGATCTGCCCATCATGGCCACCCAAAGTACTGGGATTACATGTGTGAGCCACCAAGCCCAGGCAAGAATAATTTTTTAACAGCTGAATGATAGCAAACTGGCAAAGCAGTGTCAGAGGTAGATTTCAACTGTAAAATAAAGCGCAGTTTTCAAAATCTTTCATTATATGTTAGATCAAGAAAACATATAACCCTGATCACTGAAATAACTGTTATAAAAATCTTCCTTAGTATTACATATAAGAACAATTTTCATAAAATAAAAAATTTTTTACAAATTTTTATTTTATAAATAAGATAAAAAATATTTAAGGATATGGTCAAAATGAACAAATTGCCATGGTCAAGGTGAAATTTACCTATTCAAAAAAAAAAAAACTTAGAGATAAAGGATGTATACAAACCAACAATGGAAATCAGTAAGTTTATGTCCTCTTTGATTTAAAAGCCATAAAAGTTATAAAGTAAAATAAATATAGTGAGATACATACACATTTTGCCAAAACATTTTTCCTATAGGCTTTCACACTGTAAAAGAGAAAATTTTAAGTACATAATTCCATTATACTGTTTAAAAGCACTTTCTTACCAAACACAATCTCCCCTTTACTAGTAAATTTTAGTGATAGTAGTATTACCTATGTAAAATTGCCATAAGCATATAGATACCTCAGATGCTCTTGTATTTATTTTCATGTACTTGGCATAAAAGAACAAATAAATTCAACATGTTTATCAACACACATTAAGAAAAAAAGGTCAAGGCTTATGGTAGTCAGGTTTGATTAGGCCAAATTCAAGCATGATGTGACCTTGATTACAAGAATTATATAAGGTTATTTTTTACTCAATCTTAAAATACTGTTCCCACTACTACAGAAAAACAAAACATGTTTATTATCTTATTACTACCTCATACTGAATGTAGATGGAGTGGCTAGGAAGATAAATATATTCACACCAGCAGTTATAAACTAATCTGTAATGTTTGAGAAATTTCTAGATCACTCAAATTTTGAAAACAGCTCCATCTTTACATATTCCTTAAGACAGATAAATCTATTTTTTTAAGGTATTCTCTATCTCAACACATTATGGTAGAATGAGCACTTGCTAACTCTTAAATTGCACTTTCCAGGGTGTTCCCTGGTTATCATCTCCATTCTGCCTGGTCTCGGTATTTATGAAACAGAATAACCGAAGCAAAATAGTGTTAGGAAATAAAACGTAAACAATGGGCCTAAAATTAAACTCAAGTCTATATTAAAATGATGGTTGTATTTCCCCATTAGGTTTGGGTTAAGGTAGAATTTAGTATCAATTGACAACTTTTCCTAACTGAGGAGGTACTTCCTATTTCCCAGAAGTCTTAGCATCATTAAGGAAAGGAAATGGGAAGTGCTACAAGACATGTTCTGCATTTACTGTTACAAGTAGAGTAGCTTATTCAGTGTTCTTCATTGTTATTTTTCTGTTTTTTTTTTTTTTTGTTGTTGTTGTTGTTGTTAAGAAACAGGATCTCACTATGTTTCCCAGGATAGTTTCAAAGCAATCCTCCTGCCCCAATCTCCCAAACAGATGGGATTACAGAATGTGAGCCATCACACCCAGCTAGTGTTCTGATTTATGTATTACATTTCATGAAAGACTAGTATCCTACAGAAAGCCTATCTTCCATATCTACTATAATTCATGTGAGGTCCCTAATCTAGAGTGCAAATCCTAACACAGAATTAGCATTATTTGATTTATAACCTCCCTAGCTCTGGGGAAGTGGAGAGGTGATATTAAATGCTTCAGGTTAAAAAAAACACTGTAATTTTGTCATTTCAAAGACAAAACCTTTTAGTTTCAGTTTCTATTAATTTATAATCTGCCCAAAAGGATAAAAACATAAAGAAATTACTTACCTAGGAAATTCAATATAGTCATTCATTAATGAGTAGAAATTAAAACAATTCCTCAAACCCATATATATTATACTAATTGCAAATAATATTATCCAACGGTGCTATATAAGTAATTCAAAGTAACAGTCATTACTTAAATTAGAAAAATGGAGAGCACTATCATACTGTTTCTTCAAGTAAGAATAAAGTTTAGGCCAATGTTAAATTACAATGTTCAATATTCTTTAACTTTTTAGGTATATCGTTTCTGAAACTGACTCAAGAACAAAAATGAACTTCAACTCACGTTTCTCTTGCAATGATTTTACTTCCAATAGAAGCTTGAATTGCTATCTCAAACAGTTGCCTAGGAAGACAATCCTTGAGCCGTTCACACATGGCTTTGCCAATCGAGTGTGCTTTGTCTCTAAGACAGAAAAATACAACTGTTTATATATCATAAATAAGAATATTTCAAGTATCTTTCTAGTTAGTTGCATAATCAATGTAAAGGTGATCTAAGGAGGTTCAAATGGAATTATAAACAAGAGTCTCTTAACTCTGAATCACAAACAACTTCTCTGAATTAAAAAGGTAATATACGATTACAGAAAATTTAGAAATACAATATTATAGAAAAGGTTCTTGATTCTCTTTCCTTACCTACCGAAAACTTAAAACATTTTGGAATGTTTATTTTAAACATACTACCTTTCTAGTCATTTTTTTTACATTTTTTTTTAGTATGATCAGTGTTTATGATATATTCTAACCCTCTTATTTAATAAGTTTTAATGGCTTAAAATAACAATAAGTGTGTTGCATAATTTATTTTAACCAATTTGCTGTTTCTTGAACACAGGTTTTTCCTTTTTATAATTTTTTTTCAAATATAAAAAAACTTTTTGTTCCCAATTCTAAATCCATCATCGTAAGATTTTTTAAACTTTTTTTTGTACATGGTAAGGGGAAACATTTCTATGACACTATTCTTTTTGACTATTATAACTGTTTCTTTTCTATTTTTAGTAGTCTAAAGTGTGGAAAAGAAGAGAAAGCAAAGCAAGTAGTGTGAAATCTATTTTAATTACATTTAATAGTTTTTTAAATGCAGCTGCTCAAATAAAAATAAGCAAAAAATAAAAACATATCAAAAGTGAGTATTTTTGCATTCCATGATTAGCTTCTATTAAGCTTACTTGTGTACAACAGTTACTAGCTCCTCCACGATATTTCCATTCAGTAGAATATCCATTTTCACAAGTTCTGCAGTCTGGTAGCCTGCATCTTCATAATCAAAACTAAAAGGAAAAAAGTCCAAGTGATAAATATTACAGTTCCCTCTTAAGAGATTAGCTTTTTTACTCTTTACAATATGTCTATTTTCTGCCCCATTTCACTCCCCAAAGAGATCTAACTTTCCATCAAAATATTACATACACAGTTTCTTGTAAATGGATCTAAATGTTATCGTCTTTTTATGTTTATTAAATCACCGGCCAAAGCAAGGGGAATATGTTTACAGGGGGAAGGGAAAGAAATTGGTGAACCTGACAAAGAAAATGGTTTGTTGAAGACAAATATCATGTCTTCCCAATGTTCCCAGCAGCTGGCAGGCTTCAGAGAATATTATATATTAATGGATCATTTTCAGATTCATGAGTTGAGTTTCTATTTAGCTTTCTATTCCCAGTGACAACTCTATGTTTTAATAAATACTATGGCTCTCATAAAATGCCATTAATAAATGAGACTTTTGGATTTCCTATTTGGCCCTTCAGCTTGAACCTCCCTTCACAGGGCTTTTGTGAGAATTAAATGAGTTAATACATGTAAACCACTTAAGAGCTATGCCTAGTACATAATAAGCATTAAAATAGAGCCACTTTAGCATATATAGGAGCACTTAGTTTCAGCTATTTTAACAAAGTGGTCAAAGCTTGCAATGTCAAAACAAGATCTAAATGTTTAACTTATAAAACTGAAGTCTAACAATTAGGCTTACAAGTTGTCCCAATCACAGACAAGAGCATGTATACTCCTGTTGTCTTAATTTTAAAACAATTGGTGCCTGGACTTGCAAAATTATGTTTTGTTTCTAAAAATTTTCAGCAGGATGGTCATAAAGTGACAATATACTCTATTACCAGATTATTGTCAGAAGTACTGTTAAAATCCTTTCTTCAGGAAGCATCACTTATTAAACATTTACTGTATGAAAGACACCATGTTAAGCACCATACAGAATACAAAACAAATATAACAGGGAGAGAATAAAACAGACGTGGTCCCTAACTTTGAGGCTGTTATAGCTCCAACTATGTTGTGGTCCAAATATTAAAAGTTTCTTAATGCTGGAAGCTGGAATATTTTATTTTTATGTAGTTCAAAAATAAATCATGTTCTTTCATTAAATTCAAAATGTATTTAAGTTTCCAAACTAAGACTTTTTAAGACCACTTGTAATTGAGAAAGTAGTACCCAAATGCAAACTAAAACTGACAGACTTCTGTTAAAAATATTTATAAATATTAAACCTAGTAATCTTCTTTCAACTCTGGTAATTTTAATATGCCCTCTCAATTTATGTTACTTTAAATTCCATTGCCACTTACTTGCTCAACGTCTTGTCTGAAAGACACATATGAGAAAAAAACTGGGTGGCAAAGTAGAAAAAAAATTCTCAACACAAAGGGACATGAAGATTCCTTCATAAGAAGAGTTATCATATATGCTAACTCTCTTCACTGACAAGATAAATAAAATTAAACTTCCAAGTCACTGTAGGATGTTCTCTAATCAATGGAATTTGTCTCTGCATGTTAATATTAATATTCATGCACTGTGTGGGAAGTATATAGATGTCAATGCTCATTTTTTCCTCTTCTGCTTTAGCATGTTTTATATCTGTATTCTACTATATACTATCCTGTAACATAAGATATTAGGGCATAGTGAGGGTATCTAGAGTTAAATGCTCCAACAACAACAACAAACAGCCTCTCAGAATGCTATGCCCTGAGTTCCTTATTTGTTACTTAATAGTAACTCTCCTTTCACGTTTATCTGACTTTTCTCCATGTACTCCTATGAGATACCCAATAGCTTTCATGATGTAGACAACCTGTTCCTCGAAAGACTAAGTTATTAAAGTGTTCACAAATGCAGGGGCACAGTTAGCATTTTTTACAGACTGAATATGGACTTCTATTTTTCAAATATAAATAGATGCTCGAGATTATGTAACATACAAATATATTTTAAAAGTGCTTTTGAGGTTACAGTATATTTTTGAAATTAGGTCTAATTCTTAATTAAGATACAAGAAATACAACTTTTTTCATGAAAAGGGGACCTTTTTTAAAAAAAGAAAAAGAAAAGTTAGATCATAAACGAAAGGACACTTTTCTCCTGTAAGCAAATTACAAGTACTCTGTAACACCTATGAGGTTGCTCCAAGTCATTCTAACCTTAGTGTATGATTCTCATCTATTTTCAAGAGAGCAGAAATTACTAAATAAATGAAGAATTAGTATAATCTTGCTCATCAATATTTCAAAAAGGTTGGTCAGGCATCTTAGATTCTCATTAATATTTTACCTGGCATATCCAGAAGATAGGGATTTCAAAGAGTCATAAAAATCTACCACAATTTCATTCAAAGGAAAGAGATACTTAAGCATAACTCTATTTTGATCAATAAACATCATATTCTTCTGAACTGCTCTTCGAGCCTAAAAAGGGAAGGAAAAAAATGAGTTTAATGATAGCCTACTCAAATATTGAGGAATAATGTACTTATCTAATGGTCTAGTAAAAACTTATGAGCAGTATTCATAATCCAGGGAGAAACATTTTGTACTTCAATTACATTCTGCTTTCTACCAAAGCTTTTAATATTTTACAATTTTATCTTTCAAAATAAACACTATTTCATTTAACAATAAACCAAAATTAAAAGTCCTAATTTCTTGTTTTACAAATTATTAGGTCCAGAGAAATTAAAAGTGAAAGATCAAGATTACAATCCAGTTTTTAACATAATTAAAACGCAAGTCACCATTTGACACTTTCCAATATCTTATGTGAGTATTTCACATAATAGTATTTTTAAGAAATATAATTACATACCATTTGTGGATTAAATTATTTATTAAACTGCAGTGAGAACTAAAGCAAAATGGGAATACCTTCAAATGTATGGTACCTGAAGTACTATAATTATCTTTCAAACTACTCAAAAAGGCTAAATGAAATTATACGTTTAGCTACTTCAGGATAAGTAAGCATCAAATTTCTTTAGGCTAAAATATGAAATCAGTAAATTACACAAATTATCAGAAATGTTTTTCTTATTTAAAATCAAAGTAAAAAGTATACATACTTATATATACATGTACAGATATTCAAATATATATGAAGATCTCTTATTCAGTATGCTCAACAGAAAGAAATCTTTTAAAACCTGAGTTGGAAATCACTATTTTAGAGGAGTAAAATCTAATTTTGTATTAAATTGTATTATAGTTATACCTGGCATAGCATCATTATTTTTCCAGTGTATTCATCTGGTGTGATAATAGTACCCAAAACAACTGGCTCCAAATATTCTGTTACTTTTGATTTATCAGGGAATTGTGCAGGATTGATAATCGTAATTTCTTTTTCTCTATATTCCTAAAAATTAGAAAAATCAGCAATACTTAAAAAGAAATCTTAATATAATGATTATCATGTTTCTTAAAAGTTTGTTTTATATTTTAAAATCCCTCCAGCTATAATCATTTAATATTAATAACAAGTATTAGTAAATAATATATTCCAATTATTGATATTTACTAAACATATTTCATGGACCATTTAGAAAAAGTATGACAGAAGAATACATTTTAACTTGACAGTTACAAAACATTATAATTAGTTTAACAAGTTAATTTTTGTTGGAAAATATTTAGACTGCCCAAATTAATATTTATTTAAAATGAACAGACTGTCACTTGCATGGAATACAATATTGTTTTTATCACTGATTTGAAATTTAAAATTTCCCAGTCACAGGAATGAATGCTTCACTTTTTATGAGATCAATTACTTATGACCAAATTTACATTTTTCATCTTTGTACTAGATATCAATTTTACCTTTTACTATTAGCAATAGACTAGTTTTGATAATGCTGAGATTATATCAGGTTAAGAAAAATATGACATTAAGGTAGTTTTCAAAAATTTCTTCATCAATTAGCCATAAGATAATTCAATTTTTATTACTAGTAATCAATAAATATTTGGTTTAATACCTAATAAGCTACTGGTATACTAAAACGTTTCTCCTGCATTGTATAGATACACATTTATTTTTTCCAAGAGACTAATGCAAATAAATATCAAATACCTTTATCAGTTTTGATGATGAAAGCACAGCTTTATATGGAACAGTAGGGGTTGTCAAAATAACAGAAGCATTATATTCTTGCTCTAGTCGCTGGTTAAATACTTCCATGTGCAAAAGTCCAAGAAATCCTAGCCTGGAGGATGAACAAGACAAACTCCAAAATGTTTATGTTCCATAGGCTTCATTTTTTTTTTTTTTAATGAATATATTGTTACTTTAAGGAAGGGATGGAATTAAGAGTCATTCAAACAATTCACAATATAATTAAATGCTAGCATAATTTTATTAAATAAGATTAAAATCTTACACCAGGAATCTATTTTAAATCACTATAAAACTTATCCATAAAATGTCAACCCACACATGAAACAGGCAGATAAAAATTTTTATTCACTTTACACTAATACAAACTTATTTTCAGTAAATGTTCCAGAACAATGCACCATTTATATCTCCCTTACCTATAAAAATATTTTTAAAACCTGCCTTTCCTAAATAAATATATATATATATATATATATATACATATATATATATATATATATATATATGAATGAATCTTACCTCCAGCCAGCACCCAGAGCAAGGCTACTATCCCGATGAACTGTCACACTGGAATCATTTAAAGTCAGTTTCTCTATGGCACTCTTCAGATTGTTATATTCAGACTGGTCTACAGGATATATTCCTGGAGATAGAATGATCTCTAGTTATCATGTGATAAGCTATCTACAGAACAATCAAACCACATGTGTAGTGCTGCCAAGTTCAAAATTAGTCATTTACCTTGTAAATTACTTGCTTGTATTTTATTGTCCAAAATACTGGTTTGCTAAAAATTATGAGTATTACGTTAAATTGGTTTCAACGTATCTTACAAATCATTAGTCTTAAAGAATATACAACTAGATTTGCACTCCAGTGTTTTAAAGGGTTTTGAAAAAACACAGGGAAAATTTTTAAAACCATGTGAATTAGTCCTATTAAGAAAACACATTGTATTTCAAAAAACAAAAGCACAAGACATTCCACAACTCAAATGAAACTCTATTATTAGATAAATATAGGAGTAGAAATGAAAAACTACGCTGACTCTCAATTCTCTAAGGCAGATTATCTATTTAAAACCAAAGTTAAATTTTGCTTTTTGGTATTTACTGACAAAAACTATGGGAGCCATTACTGATTCTTTTTCATCTGACACCTCTGAAGTCCTCTAAAATCCAGATGACTGACTTCGCCTAAAGGTAAGGGTAAACACAGTTCCTGATTCCCAGTGAGAGAGGACCATAGAGTGAAAACCAAGGGCTAGATACTCAGCACAGAATAACCTGATGACCTTCAATGAGGTCTTCCTTTTTCCAACGTAAAGGAAGTAAACAATTCTGAAATTATGCATACTGAGGCAACACCATTCTCTGTCATGTCTACATGAGTACAATACAGTATTAAAGAAACTCTATTGAAGATGAAGGCACTCAATGTCTACTGATAATTAGTAATAAAAACATGCTAATTAGTAGAATGTTTAAAATATAATGAACTTCCTAGAAAACTAAGAAATAAATTTGTATAACTGTGTTCTATATATCACAGCTGCTTCCTTAAAAGCTTATTTCTTAACGAGTCCTAAATGATCTCCCACATAAAATTTCATCATACATATGAAATTATAAACTAATAAACAGCATAAAGAATTAAGTGAAACAATAAGCTGGAATTAGTGGTTATTTAAAATAATCAGAATGTATATTTATCTTGTAGTAATTTTTCTTTAACCATAGAGTCAGACCTTTAGATTAAAAATATTGTGGCCCTCAACCTTTGAATTTGTGAGCTCCTCACCTGCAAATACCATTGGTTTCGCTGATTTAAACCCAGGCAAGGGCTCCACTGGTTGCTTACGTAAATGTAATGTATCTCCTATTTGCGCTTCAGTGACATCTTTCATCCCAGCAATCAGATAGCCCACCTGTCCTGCATATCTAAATAAAATTATTGTATGCAAATATTTATTGCTTTAATGTTTCAAGCACGTAACTCACAATTAATTCTACCTTCCAGGAAACTATCATACACTTTCCAAACAAAACCCTGTTAAACTGAAAATAAATGCTACATATCAATTCTCAAACTCTGAAGCTTGTCAGCAAATGAACACACCAGATCTACAATCCATTATACCTCTCCACTCATTAACCTAAGGTCTTTTTCATGACTCTGCCAACCTTTGCAATTTAAACAGCAGTTTCTAAAATATATTGTAAATACAGTGAAACTAGTAAGTACAAAAGCATTACAAAAATGTACACTACTTGTGATATCTTTTATTAATGGTGTTGCAAATGTTCTTTAACAAAGAAAAAAAAAGGTAAATTTTTATCCAAGAAAAATATGAACTTTCAACAAACTGGCCATTTGATACTCCTCCTGTAGCAAAAGAACAAATCCCATGAGTTCAGGTTAAGCTTAGTTAAAAAAATGATAATTAAAGAAAACACACAATTCCGTACAAATTTAAACTAATTAATACTTAGAATGAGCTATAAGAACCTTAAATGAAGATATTATTCAGTATATATGTGATAATGTTCAATATAAATTGATGTGAAAATATTTCAGTAAAATTAGATTTTCTAACTCAATATAGTGTTGGTGTTAGACATACAACACTAAACACTCAAATGTAATCTGATAGTCATCTGGTTCAATAATTTTTACAGAAATTAAATTATTGTGAGAAATTATTGTGAGGAAACAGGACCTCGCAAGGCTCAAATTATGTATCCAAGGTCATGTCTCATCAGTACCTGATACGGAGTAGGCACTCAATAAAAAGTTCTAAGTCAATTCAGATGTGTTTTTGTAATGCATACTACCATTGCTAATACCACTCCCCAAGAATTTTAATCAAGGTTTCACCATGAATTCCACACAAAGATTTATTAAGGTTTCTATACTACCTTTATAGTAAAAAAATCTAGTTATAAAGAGATGTCAAAATTGATACTTAATATGGATATGGGTGGAGGGAACTAACTCTTTCACTGTCTCATCAAATATCAATATAGCATATAATCGATCCTGGATCCTAAACCTAGTTATGACTAGTCATCCAGAATAAAAACCTGTAGTGTAATTTATAACCACTGAAGTTTCTATTATCTTTCACACATGAGCTTCCTTTTGACAAAGCATTTATTGTATAGTTGCAATAAATAGTTTTTTTTTTTAAGTTACTAAATAAGGATCAGTCTAAGCACACCAAGTTGAGAAAAAAGCAGAAATAGAAAAACATACTAATGCATTTTAATTACTAATGCAGATTACTTACAATTTATGAGTTGGCTGCTCATTAGGATTCAAAACTCCTACTTCATTAACTTCATACACCTTTTGAGTATGTGCAGATACAATTTTATCTCCTTTGGAAACCACTCCATCAAATAATGCTACATTGGCTACCACACCTCTATAGTGGTCAAAGGTGGAGTCAAATACCAAAGCTCTCAGGGGATTTTTGCGATCCACTTTAGGACTAGTAAATATAAGTAAAAGTAAATACATACACACTAAATTAAAAACTTAGTAAAATTCATATTGGCTACTTAGATACTGTACTTAATTTGAGTTCTTGAGAAGGTTTGATATACAACAGCCTAAATAAAAAGAACTTTTTATAAAATATATTCGATTTAATAACCTCTAGTTTTAACAGATTACTTATGAATATAGTTGTTCAGCTTAAAGCAAAGAAAAATAACTGCCAATGTACTGAGGTACGTTTTATGACTGTCAAGAAGAGACCTCTATCAATCATCTTTCCTTTTTCATTTACTTTACTGAACTTGCCCTCTATGTATTACTAAAAGCAAATAAATTTATTCTCACTCCCTGTAAGACTAATTGCCACATCTATTTAGCTAAAATAACAGTTCAAGCTGACAGTCTTTGAACTACTAAATACAGACAGTTTTTGAACTATTAAATAGCGACAACTAGTACAAAAATCACAAAATACTCACGGGGGGATTCTTTCAATAATTGCCTGAAGAACACTCTCAACATTTGTTCCAAGTTTAGCAGAAATCTAAGAGCATACATGGGAAAAAAATAAGCATTTAAAGTTAAAACTATACTTTTCTATCTTAATGACCTGTGACTTATGATTTGAAGGAAGAACAAATTCTAATAGTTAACAATTTGAGAAATACAGCAAAAGGAAAAAAAACAAAGCAAACAGCATATTGACAAATATCTCTTTTTCTAATATACATAGTTAGGTGGTTCTATGGTTCTAGGATTGAATTAGAAGAGACTCCTGATTATGGTATTGAAAGAGGAATAGACTGAGTTCAAAGTCTGGGTAACAATCATGTCTTTGCATTGAATGCAGGTATTTGACCAGTATTTATCTCCTCGAGCTTAACTTTCATCATCTAAAAAAACGAACTGATTATTCATATTCTGCCTAAATCTCAAGGTTGTTGTGTGGATAAACAATATATATGGATGGCATGAAACTATAATGCATCTTACTACTTCACTGTTCTCACAGCAGAAAAGCAAGCCAATACTCAAACCACATGGTATGACTGACCTTTATCGCCAGTAATAAATGAACTACCTCTTAAATACTGATTTCAAACTACTTACCCTTCACATTCACTCTAGACTAGGATTTTTCAGTTTCAGCCCTACTGACATTTTGGGCCAGATAATTCTTTGTTTTGGGGCTGTTCAGCAGCAACCAGGGCACCTCATTTACCCACAAGATGCTGGTAGCATCCCTCCTAAGTTATGAAAACCAAAAATGTCTCCAAGTATTTGCCCAGGGGCAAAACCATCACCACTGACAACCACTGCTCTAGACTGTAGTACTTTCTTTACAACAGTCCTTAACTTGTAACTATTGAATATACTACCTGATGCTGTCCATCAGCTCCACCCTCCACTGCATTTCTATCCTTTCCCAGATGAGACTCTAAGATCCATTATTTCCAGTCACTCTGGTTCAACCACTTTCTACTCTTTCCTCATTATAGGCAGCCTGCAAAACCTCCACCTTGACTGCATCCAATTATGTGTATTTTCTATGTCCATATACAGAGCAGCTTAACATTACTAGAGGAAAAAAATGAAATAGTCTGGTTTATTTTGTTGTACTGGCCCAAGCACAGAAAGTCAACACCAAGACAAAAGTATGCCAAATTGCAAGGTCTTTATTGCCAGCGGCCATGGAGGACTCAAGTCTCTCCAACCCATGGCCCCGAAAGGAGGGTGTCAAGACATTTTATACCCATAAAACCACCTCAGGGGTCAGGGTGAGGGTGAGGGGTAGGAGTCGGGGTAAAGGGCTTCAGACATTCAGAGGGCTAGTAGATTCTGTAAATCACCTCCTGGGTGGAGATGAGGGTGAGGGGCTCCAGACATTCCAGTGGATTCCTGGGCAAAGATGAGGGTGAGGGGCTCCAGACATTCTGAGGGCCAGGGGACTTTTGACATTGTGATTGTTACTTAAGTGGTTCACAAAAGTCAAGACAAGCATTTGTTTACACATTGTCTGGGTAGGGTAGAAATCACAGACCTTAATTACTTATTATAAGTCACAGGAGCCAAGATGGCGTGGGTTTGGACTGCTTGCCTGTCACATTACAGCTAGAGAGCAGTTTCAACAGAAAGCCGAGATATGGTTGAGATATGCAGTTTTATGGGGCTTTTACCATGTCACAATTTCTTGCATCTGACAACAAGTGACCTTGCCGATGGGCAGCCATGCTGCTTATATACTTAACTCCAAATCAAGATACATCATTTAATATTGTATAGATTTAAAAATTAAGGTTCTTTATGAATTTTAAAATTAAGATTATTAATTTTTATTAATTTTGAAATAGAGGTTTGTAGACAGTGCTCAGTTTAGCAATGAACTATTATGTTTTATGTGTTATGTTGTTTCCTCCTGGATGGTAATCTCCCTTTCTCTTCATATGGATTGTTAATACTTAGCCACAATAATTTAATATCTGGGCCGAGCACAGTGGCTCATGCCTGTTATCCCAGCACTTTGGGAGGCTGAGGCGGGCAGATCACAAGGTCAGAAGTTTGAGACCAGCCTGGCCACGATGGTGAAACCCTGTGTATCTACTAAAAATACAAAATTTTTAGTAGAGGTTACATGACTTAGTAACCTCCCAAAGACTCCACTTCCAAATACCATTACATTGGGTTTAGATATCAATGTATGGATTTGGTGGTGGGGGCAGGGGCAGAACACAAACATTCAGTCTATAACACTTTTTTAAATATTTATTTATTTATTTATTTATTTATTTATTTATATACAGATGGGGGTCTCACTGTATTGCCCAGGCTAGTCTCAAACTCCTGGGCTCAAGTGATCCTCCCACCTCAGCCTCCTAAAGTTCTAGGATTACAGGCATGGGCCAACACACCCAGACAGTCCAAAACAATTAATAAGAACTCCCCCCAACGCTATCCCACTAAGCCACAACTCCCTTTCACCATAATTCCTGAGAGCAGTCTTCCCTTCTCCCAGGAGTGACTTTCCCCAAATATATATCAGACCATAAGACCAGCTGGCAGGAAGAAAAGCAACATCATTATAGTAGGGGTATGGCTGCTTTTCTATTTATTACAAAGCCTGAATCTCTGAGGGTCTCAGGCATTGTCTTCCTTTCAAATAAATGAGCTATCCTAGTGCATGATAGAGATAATGTGATGATCCAAAATCACTTTTTTCTCTACATACTCATCAATCTTGTCATAGAAATTTTACCCAGGATCTGGCAGGAGGTTGACTCCAAGCATTAGTTTTTCACACTGTGGCATATTTAACCTTTGTAAACCTTCATGTTTCATTTTGCTGGGATTGTGAAACAACTTTCTGCACGGTACATTTGCAAATATCCAGCTTCCTAACTTCTTTTGGTAAAATAACTTTATTCAGACTTATGTACTATCAAAATAGAAAAAAGTATGTTGGATGACTGTAAATAATGGACACCAGAATAAATTTGGTTGCTTGCTATTGATCCAGTTTCATTATTACCCAGAAACATAATCATAACAGATCACATTTATTGACAATTTACTATTTGCCAACTACTGTATTTAATTGTTCCTTTTGCAAAATCTGTCTAATCCTTATATTTTATACAGAGTTTTATATACACACACAAAAGTTATATATGCATTAATTAATAATTTCAATATATTGTGAAATATGGAAAAATAGAATTAAGTGGATGAGATAAAGATGAAATAAACAGTACCTAAGAGGTAAGTATAAGTTTTATTCCTTTCTTTCCGATGAGGGAATTCGGATCTTTGTGGTTAAATAACTTGTGGAAGAATGTATATAATTCCTAGGAAAGACCTCCTATGAAAATTAATTCTATCAATTTGCTAAATGTATGTAAATTTGACTTTGCATTACATATTTAAATGATTGTTACAATAATATGATGACTAAGAATGTATAATTCAATTATTGCTCATATCAACTTTCATAATCTCAGGTGTAATTGTATTTTTGCTAACAAAACATATTGCCAAACTAAAAACTAATAAGAGTTCAGCAATAAGTCTGCTAGAATGCAGTTTTTTCTACAAAGACAAATTAAGTCTTTATAGAAAAAAAGTGGAAATTAAGACGAGGTTGCCAAATTAAAAGTCAAAAATAATTATGATAATATTAGTGAAGCAAAATCCTATAATTTTCTTTTCTTTGCTTGCCATAGAACATATTGAGCTCTTTAAAACTCATGCAATGAAACAGAATTTTATGCCTATTTTCATGTGTCTCTCTAATATTCAGGGCTGTAGTTTCAGGCTTATAAAATAGAAGCAGCATGGTCTTTAAAAGGCAGATGATCAGGAACAAATCTTATGTGGTACTAACAAGAAGAGCATTTAGAGAATACTGACAAAAATGCATTAAAAATAATGGAAAACAGAATGCATTGCATTCTTCTCTGCATTAATGCAGATGTACATTAAATTGCAATATGGATTGCCAGAATAAATTAATTACATGATAAACACTGGTAAGAAACAACCTGTTTCTCTCTCAGCAGAGGTAGAAAATGGTGACATATTTTTCATTTGGTTTACTGGCAGCTCTATTCAGCTGAAAATATTTGGGGTAGACGGATATAAATAAACATCATTTAGTGTTCCTAAATACATACATTTATAACACCAGAGTTCTGGGCAGTCATACATAATATTTTTGGAGAAACGGAGTAATCAAAGAAACCTAGATGAGTGAGAGAACTGATGCTTCAGACTAGGTTCTTTCACATACTAGGTGTGTGACTTTGCACAAACCACTTTGCTTCTCTGAGCCTCCATTTTTATAACAGAGGACTGCAGTGACGGATGTTGCAATTTTATATTATACTTAGATTGATAGACATCAATTAAAATACTGGATTCTGAGTATGCAGAATTAGTAATAGTGATCATTCATCCATACACCAAACCATTTATCCTTAAACTTAACACAATTGCGTAACTGTCAGGTATATAGCAAATTGTTTTCAATATAGCTGTTGAGCAATTCACAGCCTCTACAGCATGTGACAAATCACCAGAAAGATGCTAAGAAATTATGGATGGAAATTCTTCTCGATTCCTACTGCTAATTATAGTTAGCAACCACAGAAGAATTTGTCCTGATTTTGTCAAGTCATTAAAGGTATAATTTCTACAATCTTTTTATAAGAGCTTTGTTATCTCCTACCAATCTGCTACAGTAAAAGTGATATATCACTTTTTAAATAACAACAAAGAGAATTACAAGTGGGAGAAAATGGTGACTTCAACCAGGCTTATGGCAATGGTGATGGAGGGAATTGGTTAGTGAGAGATATATTTAAGAGACAGAATTGATAGAATTTATTGAAAAATTAGATTATTTCTGATTTGAGTGGGTGCTTTGTGATGCAATTTCTTGAAATGAAGAAGACAGTCTTGGGTTGGTGGGGGGTGGAGACTTTAAGAATCCACTTTGGATTGTGTTAAGTTTGTCTGGAACTGAGAAGAATGGTCAAGGATGCATACATAACTTTGGGAATTGATATATAT